GCGTCACTTTTTATATACCACATGCAAAATAGATTTCTTTGGTCTATGAATTTTTTAACTAGCATCAGTCTGTATAGTCACCACCATAATCAGATCCCAAACCATGTCACCATCTTTTTTTAAAATCATTTTATTGGAGGCTCATACAACTCTTATCACAATCCATATATACATCAATTGTGTAAAGTACATTTGTATATTCATTGTCCTCATAATTCTCAAACCATTTGCTTTGCACTTGAGCCCTTGATATCAGCTCTTCATTTCCCCCTTCCCTCATGAACACTTGTTAATTTATAAAAAATTATTATTTTGTCATATCTTACACTGTCTGACTTCTCCCTTCACCCACTTTTCTGTTGTCTGTCCCCCAGGGAGGAGGTTATATGTAGATCCTTGTAATTGGTTCCCTCTTTCCACTCCCACCCCTCCCCGAACCCCCAACCCCCGGTATCACCACTCTCACCACTGGTCCTGAAGGGGTCATCTGTCCTGGATTCCCTGTCTTTCCAGTTCCTATCTATACCAGTGTACATCCTCTGATCTAGCCAGATTTGTAAGGTAGAATTAGGATCATGATAGTGAGGGTGGGGGTGGGGAGGAAGCATTTAGGAACAAGAGGAAAGCTATATGTTTCATCATTGCTACACAGCACCCTGACTGACTCATCTCCTCCTCGCGACCCTTCCGTAAGGGGGTGTCCAGTTGCCTACAGATGAATCCCCATTCCTCACACGCCCTCATTCACAATGATTTGATTTTTTTGTTCTTTGAATGCCTGATACCTGATCCCTTCGACACCTCGTGATCACACAGGCAAGTGTGCTTCTTCCATGTGGACTTTGTTGCTTCTGAGCTAGATGGACACTTGTTTACCTTCAAGCCTTTAAGACCCTAGACACTATATCTTTTGATAGCCGGGCACCATCAGCTTTCTTCGCCACATTTGGTTATGCACCCATTTGTCTTCAGTGATCGTATCGGGGAGGTGAGCACACAATTATATGATTTTTTTGTTCTTAGATGCCTGATAACTGATCCCTTCGACACCTCGTGATCACTCAGGCTGTGTGCTCCTCCCATGCGGGCTTTGTTGCTTCGGCCACTCCATCAACTTTCTTCACCACATTTGCATATGCACCTGCTGTGTCTTCAGTGATCGTGTGGGGAAGGTGAGCATCATGGAATGCCAGTTTAATAGAGAAAGTACTCTTGCATTAAGTGAGTACTTGAGTGGAGGCCCAATGTCCACCTGCTACCTCAATACTAAACCTATAAATATATGTACATAAATCTATTTCCCCATCCTCATATATATATTTAAATATGTACATGCATTTATTTAGACCTCTATAAATGCCCTTTGCCTCCTAGTTCTTTCCTCTATTTCCTTTACTTTCCTCTTGCCCCACTATCATGCTCAACCTTCATTTGGGTTTCAGTAATTCCTCAGTTACATTAACCTTGATCACACACTACCAGACCTCCTACACCCTCCTCACCACCGATTTGGAGCACTTGTTGTTCCTTTGTCCCTGGATTTGTTAACACCACTTCCTATCCCTCCCCCTCCCCCTCTCCCATGTTCCCCCAGAACTGTTGGTCCCATTGTTTTCTCCTCCAGATTGTTCATCCAGCTTATCTTATTTAGACAGACCTGCGGAGATAATAACATGCACAAGACAGAGCAAAACCAAGCAACAAAAGAAAAGAAAACAAAATAACAACAACAAAAGCCAATGACAAAAAAAGCCAACACAACAACAAAAAAGAAAAGCTTGTAGTTAGTCCAAAGACTGTTTGTTGGCCTTTAGAAGTGTTTTCCAGTTGAGTCTGATGGAATGCCAAGCCCTGGCCCCCAAATCTATTTTTGATACTCCCTGGGGTCTTCGTTGCTCTGCTCCCCTTGCTGTTCTGTTGCATGCCCTTAGTGTTTTGCCTCAGTGTGGTGGGATCAGATCGGATGCAATTCCCACACTGTCTCTCCAGTGTTGTCCCCTGTAGGGCTATGGGTCAGTGAGGGATATTGTGTCTCATAATGGGGCCAGCCATATGGTCTTCTCTGTGGGTTGGCTGCTCTGAGTGGGAATATCATTGTCAAGGATTGGTGGGACAGGATGTGCTCCACTCTCTCTTCCTCCCACTTCATTTGCTCCCATGTGCTCTGATCAGACATGTCCCTCTCCCTGAGCTGCAGCTTTAGTGCTGTCCTCTGAAATAAATTCTTCTGGGTGGAGGGGCAGGTGCCCACATAGTTGGGATTGGGGTCGGCCCCTCCGACCTCTCCACTGGTTTCCCTACTCCATGCCGGCATGTTGCATTCACATCTTGGAGAACTGGGTTGAAGTCTGGTCCCTCTTTCCCTGTGGAGATCTGTTTCACCATCTTAAAAACTCCACAGAGTTACTGCTTATGGTCCCACAATTCCCCCAACCATAACCTGCCAACCACGACCTTCCTCATCAGTGTAGTTTGAGGAACACCACATACTTGGGATCAGACAGAGTCTAATCTATTGGTGCAGGATTCTCTCACTTATCAGCACGCCTTTGAGGTGATCACACCATTGCCTTAATAATAGTTCATTCTGGTTTATCATGAATAATGCCCCATTGCATGTGGGATGAGGTGGTTTGTTGTTTGCTTGTTGCATGACACATGGTTGTTCCCAGTTTTAGAAACGCTTCGGGGGTCTGCTAAAAACATTTATATATATGTTTTTGTGTGAGCGCTGGGTCATGTGACTCATTTATAACCAGTCAACGTTTAATAGTTTATTTCCATTATCTTTTTTTTAAATGTGGTAGAATACGCATACCATAAACTTTGCCATACTAACTCTTTTCGGGTGTAAAAATCAGTGGAATGAATCACATTCACAATGTTGTGCAACCATTACCAATATTTGTTTTCAAAGCCTTTTCACCTCAAACAGAAACACTGTGCTGATGATGCAATCACGTATTTCCTCCTGTGCCCCACAGGCTTCGGGAACCCCTGCTCTGGTTTCTGTCTGCATGTGCTTGCCTGTTCTAGATATTTCATATAGATGGGTTCACACAAAACAGATATGTTTTCTTTTCTCTTCTTTGACTCAGCATCATGCTTTCAAGATTCATCTGTGTCGTATGTCTTTTTTAGAGTGAGGGGAAATGAGCTAGGCACTTGGTGCACACTCTCACTCCAGAACGCGGCGGTGGACACCACCAGCTCTGTCCCCTTTCCCAGAATACTGAGCATAACTCGCCACCTCGGAGCCCTTCCCCTGGCTCAGAGGTGCATGGCTATGATATGACAGCTCGAAGCTGGACAGCCCGGGTTTTCTGAAATAGCAGTGAAAGTGTGATTTAGCAAGTTCCGGAAAGAACTGATGCAGCTGCCCCCAGGGGCTGTGTTAGCTACAGATGGGGCAGATGGGCACATGGGCATGTGGACTATGTCACGAAGCACTCAGAGGACAAGTGGAGCCGTTGAGTGGGGTGTGCTTCTAGAGAGTGGGGGGGCAGGGAGGAGGCTTTGGACTCAGTGCTTGGCTTTGATGGAGGCTCTCCAACTTTGATGCTGATTCTAACCCAGGACTGAGTGGACGATCTGGACATCGAGTCTGGACAGGTGGTTGAGGCAGCTTGCAGAAATTCACAAGGGGGAACACACACAGCCCAGCCCTTCCTACTGCAAGTGGCCCACAAGTGGCCCACAAGGTGCTTAAGAGTGTGAAACCTACACTGAACATTATGTCTGTGGCCCATGTGCTTCACAATCCTAAGGTGTCAGGTAGGTTCTCTGGGTGGTGGGACACAAAACAAAACTCTAAGAGGGATGAAAGCTGGGCTCACTGTCATTTACAAACTCCAGTGAGAGAGTCCACAGGCAGTTCTACCGAGGGCGCTGCCTGAGATAAGGTAAAAAGCAAACCAGAACTTTGAATGTGACTAATGAATAGCAAAGGTTTAGGTTTCTGGGTGGCCTGGGGACTGGGAAGTATGAATCATTCTGCATGCTATAGCACATGTTCCTAGGTATTGGGCACCTAGGCCAGGCCACATGGGCAGAGTGGCTAAGGAGGGTGGGGATGCCCCAGGAGAGGGTGGGACAGAACTTAATCAGTTTTTCATGAAGAACAACTAGCCTCCAGTGAGGGCTCATACTGAATCAGGGCAGTGTTTGAAGAAGAGGAAGAAGGAGAAGGAGAGGGAGAGGAAGACGAAGAAGAAGAAGAAATGATTACTGGACCCCAAGTGAAAGAAAGCTGAGGCAAGGGGAGTTCTACTCTGTCCTATTAAGTTGCATAAGTCAAACTTGAATTGATGGCAGTGAGTTGGGTTTTAGTCGCTGGATGGCTGTGGCATCCCATACTCAGACTGGTCACTTGTGGTATAGTCACTAGGGCACCAATAACTACCTCAGCACACTCTCAGACACACTGTGGGGGACCTGAGGCAGGGGTATGACTACGAGCCCCGGATCATCTCTGGAGCACAGGCTGACATAGTCAGAAGGGTCAGAAGGAACTCAGTCTTCCTGGAAGAGAGAAGACCCTGAGAGCTCACAGTCGGGTGGCACCCACAGCAGAGGGAGAGTGGGGGCTGTGCTCCTGGGGAGACAGGATGGAAGACTCAGGAAAGGCTACATTCAGCTAGGCAGACTGAGTAGGGGAGGGGGTCAGGGAAGTGCTGAGGGCAGGTGTGGGCAGTGAGGTGCAGGTGTGGGCAGTGAGGTACAGGTACCCATGGATCAGTGTTTGGAGGATGTAAGAAGCAGAAGCAATTAAGGAAGAACTGGACCAGTGGGTATTTTCAGGGATCAGAGGCCACACTGAGCAGTCTCCATGGGAGCTCTGCTCCATACATCTATGTGCCTTAGCACAGTGTATGGTGTGGTATCTGCCACAAGTCCAAGCTTACCAGCCACCTGTGATCTGCAACCCAGCTGGGACCTACAGCTCAGGTCTGGCATCCACGTGCAGGAGACATGAACAGAGAATGTCTTGGGCTCTGGGGTCACCTTCGGCAGAAGGGCAGAAGCTTGGCCAGGGCTCGTTGGACCTCAGCATTCCGCAGCGTGTAGATGAGCGGGTTCAGGGTGGGGCTCAGTGCAGTATACAGCACTCCAGCCACTTTGCTCCTCTCAGGGCTGTAGCTGGAGGCTGGGCTGATGTAGGCATAGAACACAGCTGTGTAGTACACACAGACCACAATGAGGTGTGAGGAGCAGGTGGAGAAGGCGCGGCGCTTGCCCTCGGCCGAGCGGATACGCAGGATGCTGGCCACGATGCGACCGTAGGAGGCCAGCGTGAGCAGGAAGTTGATGAAGCCATAGAAGGCGTCAGCCACGACCGTCATGATGCTGTTCACTCGCGTGGGGCTGCAGGAGAGCAGCAGCAGTGGTGGGATCTCACAGAAGAAATGCGTGATGATCTTGGGGCCACAGAAGGTCAGTCTTGCCATCAGGCCAGTGTGGACAGAAGAATTCACAGCACAAATGCCCCAGACACCCATGGCCATTGCCACACACACCCGTGGGCTCATGATGGTGGCATAGTGCAGTGGACGGCAGATGGCCACGTAGCGGTCGAAGGCCATGACCGCGAGCAGCAGCAACTCTGAAGATGCAGACCACACGAGGAAGAAGAGCTGGAACATGCAGCCTGAGTAGGAGATGGTGTTTTCCTGCGTGGCCAGGCCCGCCAGCACCTTGGGCAGGATGGTGGAGGTGCAGATGATGTCCATGGTGGCCAGGTTGGACAGGAAGAAGTACATGGGGCTGTGGAGGCTGGCACTGCAGCCCACGACAGTGATGATGAGAGCATTGCCCAAGACAGCCACAGTGTAGAGCGCCAGGAAGCAGCCGAGCAGGGGCAGACGCAGCTGGGGGTGCTCTGAGAACCCCTGTAGCAGGAACTCTGTCACCAGCGTCTGGTTGGACTTTGGGGTTTCATCAGGCTCCATGACACAGGAGGGCTGGCTGTCCCGCCAGAAAACCTACAGATCTATAACAAGGGGTGACATAATAGTCACTTCTAATCACATTCCAGACATAGTCTTCTTTGCCTGCATTCTGTAATATCAACCCAAATTCTCCCTTTCAATCAAGATTGATCCACTACTCAATATCAAAATTCCTTTCTTTGCCTATTGATACAGAGGCATAGGGACCCTAAAGTGGCCAGGAAGTATTCTCAATTACTGGTTCATGGAATCAATATTGTCTCTCCAAGGGGGATTAATTCTCCCATGGGAGCTAAGACCTACAAACCCCAGAAACCTTTTAACAAAGAAATGACAAAGGTAATTAAAACTCACTTTGAACTGAATGCCTTAAAATCCCACAGTATATCATCATTTGTGGGAAACAGACAAAATAAAACGCTTTCTTTTATTTTTTCACTTTTCTCTTGTAATATTTTCCTGAATTCTTTTAGTCTTGTTTTCCTTGATTTTTGTCTGTAGCTGTATAAGTCTATCACAACCCAATGAAGAAGTATAAACATGCTTGTTTTGAATTCCTTATCTGGCAGTTCCAAAATTTTCTCTTCCTGAGAAATGTCTTCTAACTTTGAATATTGGTCATTTGTTTGAGCAACTCTATCCTGTTTCTGTTTGTGAACTGAAAATTGTCTGCTTTCTCTGACACTTTTTTGTGGTGGTATATTTTTATTTAATGGATGACTGTATCTTGCTAGCCTTTACCCACGTCATGACTATCTCTAGATGGGTGTAGTAGGGAACTTGAATGTGCCTGCAATTCTATTTTGGGTGTTCTTATAACACAGTAGATGGCAAGGTGGGCTGGAATTTTTGTTTACCTATTGATGATCAGGTCTTACAGGAGAGTATAACAGACCTAGTCCTGCAGATGTGGCTGTAGAAAATAGGATAGTCATGGACATGGTTGCTCCTTTCAGTTGGGTGGAATAAAGGGGGAAAAAACAAACAAGAGGAAAAAATGATATATTTTTAAAGTAAATAAATAAACAAGAGCAGGAAAAGGGCATTTATAACTAAGTAGAAAAAGAAGAAAACAAAGTAAAAACAAGGGTAGACTTTCTTAAAAGCAAAGAAATTACAACAAGCAAAACCAGAGAAAACAACAGTGAAAGTAAAAAGAGACCACTCTACAAAGAAAAGGAAAAATCCTAAGAGAAATGAAAAAAGAGAGAAGCAAAAAAGAGGGAGAAATGAAGAAGGGAAGAAAACAAAAGAGAAACAGAAGGAAAGAAATAGAAAAGGAAAGTAGAGAAGGAAAGAATAAGAATCAAATAAGGAAAAGAAACAAAAACAAAGAAAGGGTCCCTGGATTTGTTTCTCTAGTCAACCTGGACGAACACAAATGGAGCATCTAAGACGATTTTGAATGTGGGGTTTTTAAGTAACCGTGTTTAGGATCTGGCTGTACTAAGACAATATTGCTTTCTCTTACCTACGTGATTGTTCAGTGACTGAGGAGGGGCTGCTTCCTCAAAGTTGAGTCGACCACGGTGATGGGAATGGAGTAAAACTTGTGGACTTGGGGCCTTGCAGGTCTTCATTTGCTGATGGCATACACTCAAGGGGAAAAGAAACAGGTGCAAGCATCTACCGATAAGAGACTTGGAATATATGAAGTATGAATCTAGGAAAATTGGAAGTCATAAATAGTCAAATGGAATGCATAAAGGTCAATATCCTGGGCCTTAGTGAACTAAAATTGACTGGCATTGGCTATTTTGAATCAGAATATCGTCTGACTTACTATGCTCGCAATGACACCATCCAGAGGAATGGCACTGCATTCATTGTCACAAAGGACAATTCAAGGTCAATATTGAAGTACAATGCTGTCCGTGATAGGATTATATCTAGCCACCTTCAAGGAAATCCAATCAATACAATTATTTTTCAAATTTATGCACCAAGCGCTAAAACTAGTGATGCAGAAAACAAAGATTTTACCAACATTTTAAGTCAGAAATTGATTAAACATGCAATCGAGATGCATAGATGGTTATTGACTATTGGAACGCAAAAGTTGGAAACAAAGAGGAAGGACTGCTAGTTGGAAAATATGGACTTGATAAAAACAAAGCTGGAGATTGTGTAATAGAACGTTGTTTGTAAAAAATACCTTTTTCCAACACCACAGTGCCTATACCTGTGGATTTCTCCAGCTGGAATACACAGAAATCAAACAGACAATATCTGTTGCAAAAATAAAACAAAACAAACATGGAGAAGCTCAAATTAGCAGCTAAACCAGGCCAAGGGTTGACTGTGGAATAGACCATTCATCGCTCCTATGTAAGTTCAGCTTAAAACTGAAAAAAAAAATTTTAAATGAGAGTCAAAATATGACCTTGAGTCTAGCCTATCTGAATTTTTAGAACATTTCAAGAACAGGTTTGCTGCATTGAACACTAGTGACTAAATACCTGATGGGCTGTGAAAGGACATCCTCAGTGAAAAGCAAAGGTCTTTTAAAAGAAGCAAAAGAAAAGACCAAAGTGGATGTCAGCCGAGACTCTGAAAGCTGCTCTTAGGCTTGTAGTCCCTGAGGCAAATGGGAGAAATGACGAACTCAAAGAGCTTGTGGTAGTTATATAATTGTCAATTTAAGGACTAAGCATGTAGGGGTGGAGTCTAGCCTGTCGATCAGGTTATAGTCAAGGAGGCTTCTGTGTAGGCATAGCCTTCCCCTAAGGATTCTGGGAATTCCAGTATTTCCTCCTTGGAGGTGGGAGACTCTTGGCTCACACCCTGGGAGACATAGCAGCTGACAAGACAGATGGACCCAGCCTGATGTGGCCCTGGATGCTGGGGATGCCAGCAGAGAACCCTGCCAGCGCTGAAATGTTTCCAATGCCACTGGATCCAAAAACTTTCTACCCACTGGCCTGTGATCTTCTACATTCGACCTCATTGCATGTGTTTCATGAGTCTAAAGAGGACCTTATAGATTGTTATCGGACGTATGGGCTGATATCGGACTTATTGACTTGATCTGGACTGCGCTGGGATGTTTTCTCAATTTTCAAATTGATCTTGTATATAAATCTCTTTTTAATAAACATCTGTGTGTCCATGGATTTGTTTCTATAGTCTACACTGAATTAAAAATGTCAAAGGGTAGCTTGAGAAGATAAAATAAAATATCATAATGAAATGTGCAAAAATCTAGTTAGAAAACAAAAGAAAATAACACCCTCCGCCTATCTTAAACTGATAGAACTCAAGAAAAAAATTCAAACTTTGAGTTGCCATATCGAAAGATTCTATATACAGAATACTGAGTAATACAGGACTCATCCAAAGAAGATGGAAAGAATACAGAGTCACTACACACACACACCCCAAATTAGCCGATGATAGTCAAGCATGTCAAGAACTAGCATATGAGCAAGAACCAATAGTACTGAAGGAAGAAGTTCAAGCTGCACTGAAAGCATTGGCCAAAAGTAAGTATCCAAGAATTGACGGACTACGAATTGAAATGTTCCAAAAAGCTGGTGAAGCTCTCAAAGCACTCACTTACTGTGCCCGGAAATTTGGATTACTGGGCTGACAACTACTTGGCCAACTGACTCAAAAAATCCATATTTGTACCCATGCCAAAGAAATGTGGCCCGTCAGAATGCTAAAATTATAGGAAAATCTCATTAATCGCACAAGCTAGCAAAATTTTGCTGAAAATCCTACAACAATGATTGCAGCAGTACATTAACAGGGAGCTGCCAGAGGTTCCAGAAAGATCCAGAAGAGGACATGGAACAACGGATACCATTGCCAGTGTCAGATGGAGCTTTGCTGGAAGCAGAGATTACCAGAAACATGTTTACTATGTTTCATTAACTATGCCAAGGCGTTTGACTGTGCAGGTCATACAAACTACTGATAGCCTTGAGAGAACAGGAATCCCAGGACACTTCCCTGTGCTCATGTTGAACTGGTTCTTGAATCAAGAGGCAGTTTTGTGAACAGAATAAAAGAATACTGCTTGTTTAAAATCAGGAAAGATGTGCGTCAGGGTTGTATCCTCTCATCATATTTATTCAATCTGTGTGCTGAGCAAATAATCAGAGAAGTGGGAGCATATGAGGAAAAATGGGGCATCCGGTTTGGAGAAAGGGTTATTAACTACCTTAAATATGCAGATGACACACCCTTCCATGCTGAAAGAGAGGAAGGCTTGAAGCACTTCCTGATTGTGATCAAAGCTTGCAGCCTTCAGTATGGATTACAACTCAATGTAGGGAAAACGAAAATCCTTAGAACTGAACTAACAGGTAACATCATGGCAGCAAACAGAAAATATTCAAGACGAGGATTTCATCTGGCTTGTATCCACAATCAAAGCTCATGGCCGCAGCCTATAGCTTAAAAGATGCGTTGACTTGAGAAAATCTGCTGTATAAGACTTCTTTAGCGTATTGAAATGCAAGGCAGTTACTTTGAAGGCTAAGGCATGACTGATGAAAGCCTTGGTATGTGCTGTTGCCTCCCTTGCATGTGAAAAAAGAAGAATTGATGTGTTTGAACTGCGGTGTTGGTGACAAATATTGAAAGTACCCTAGACTGCTAAAAGGACAAACAAATCCATTTTGGAAGAAGTACAGCCAGAGTGCTCCTTAGAGAAAAAGATGGTGACACTATGTCTTACATACTTTGGACATGTCAGGAATGATCAGTCCTTGGAAAAGGATATCATGCTCGGTAAAGTCGAGGGGCAGTGGAAAAGAGGATGGTCCTCAACAGGATGGATTGACACATTGGCTGCAACAGTGGGCTCAAGCATGGGAACAATTGTAAGGATGGCTCAGAGCAGGGCAGTGTTTCATTCTGTTGTACAGATGATCACTATGGGTCACAACTGAATCAATGGCACCTCACAAGAACAACAATTTCTATTGACATAATGTGATAGAAATTATTTTTAGAGAGAGCTTGCAAGCCCACTGCCTTCAGCCATTAAATCA